GGAAAAGGATAGAGCACCAAACGATGGAAAATACGCTCTCAACCACATTTGAGTGAATCAAAGAGGCCCACTGCCAGTGGGAGATGCACCGTTCTTCAATTGGGATTGAAGAGAAGCCATACCTCTATAGAGGGCAGCTAAAAAGAAAGAACACAAATTTAGAGGCCTACTACGTGCCAACTCGTGCGCTATGGGTAAATAACTCATGGAGGGCTTCAGGCTTGGCACACACAAAATATATTTAAAAAGCCAAACCTGAAGAAAGGCCACACGCTTAGCATGGGAAGACTCAGCGCTCGAGTGGTTATGATAGGTTTGCAGGTTTGAATAAGACTCAATAAGTTTTTTATCAAATTTTGGGTAACACCAGAAATCAAAATACCAGGAAAAATAGTATCGCCCAAAGGTGGCAAATTTATTAGGGCCCCAACATCCCTTAAGGTAATGGACATGGGACCAAGAGGAAAAACAAAAGTATTATACTCGGAAGATCAAAAACTTAAAGCGATTGGAAACAGTGCTGGGTCAAAAATAGGGGGTTAAAAAGAGATTTCTAACAAATCAGAAATCCTAACACTATCAAAAATTGCCGTAGTAGGACCATGGTCCACAAGGCAAGCATGCCATCTACGGAAAACGACATCAGATTTAGGCCAAGTGCGAATACCTCTTTCGCGAAGCGGCCTCAGCGACAAAGAGTTTAGAAACAGAGGGCCCTGAGTACAAGGGAACAGCTGACCAACCGCCGCTTGTTCGATGGCTTCGGCGTTGTTAAATGAGGGACCTAGATAGAACTCATTGAGTTCAATATTGGCTGGTACGAGGAAGTTCGGAGTTATATATGGCCGAGTGAGGAGTTTCTGGAAGTTTTCGAAACTGAAGGAGTCACCAGACTGGGATTGTGAAGCAGCCATTAGGAACGAAATAGTGTTTGTCGAAGTTACGTAGCAGAGAAGCAAGAAGATGAACAGTAATATTGCAAGAGAGAAGCGCGAAACAATGAGGCGTGATTTAGTGGTGCAATGAAATGGCGTGTATTTGGGGGTTATAAGGGTTTGCAAACATCGCACCTTTTCAGGCTATGGAAGAAAACAATGATTGAAATCCTTGAAAATTTCGAGTGTTGCTGGGAAACACAAAGTGAATATGGCAAAAAATCAATAATTGGTATTAATTCTGCCATATTGGGGGTAATTTTTGACACACAAAAGTTCAGCCCAAATCGAATAACCCCAAAAATGAAGCCCAATTGGAGGATCCCTAAATCAGATAGCCTAAAGAACGGCCCAATCAGGCAATGCAGGATAAATGCCCAAATAGGGAAGCCCATGAATGCGGTAATACCATCGTCTAAGGTTACAAGTCGCCCAAGATTTGAGCGAATGGATTGCCATGCAGTCGCGCAGAACTGTGACCCTGTTCTCGCCCAAACCTTCAAGTCGCCCAGGATCTTAACAAACATAAGATGTTATGGTTACCCAAAGGTGTGGTTAATGAAGCAGTTATTGAGTAGCCCTATCACGTTCCACGATTCAAGGAATTCAATTGAAGACGGTTGAAATACAAAAGTAATGACAGCAGTTAGAGAAGGCAGTTCCATGACAAGTTGGCCACTATGAAGAAAGTGGACAGTTATAGAGCGATCAAGCAATTTTTAAGCGGTTGATCACGAAGAGATCATCCAGAGAGTATAAAAGGAAGAAAAGACATAGAACAAAAGACCTCGAACCAAACACTCTCAAATAGAGAATATGTAACTTTCAATTTCTTAGTTTAGATTTAAACATTTTTTTCAGTAACTCATGTGTTTGCGTCCCTTGGAGGCATTCTATTTTTATTTTCCAATTGTAAAGTCATCGTCAATAAAAACACCCCTTTTTGGGACTTTGTCTCAAGAGGTTTGTCCCTTACACAATCGTTTGATCCCTTTTTAATTGTTAGCGACTAACTCGTGCGAAACAGATATATTTTTAAACTTTAGTCTTTCTTCGAGCAATGGGTATTTTTTGAGCCATTTTGCAAAAATATAGCATGTAAAATATAAATTTATAAAACACATGTGTAAAATGTAAAATGTAAATTTAAAAGATACAGCATGCTAAGTGTAATTACACACACACACACACATACATGGTGTATTTTGTAAATTTCCTTTGATGGTATTCTACCTTTTTATAAATTCAGCAATGTCATTTTTTTCTTTTAAAATAACTATGTTAAATAAATTGTCTTAGATAAATATTTAATATTATTAAGTTTTGTTATAAAAGTAAAATAAATTTTACAGTGATAACAATATATAAGAACATCATTATAATCGATGTCCACTCCAAAATTATATGCCAATCCAACACTAAGGCCATCTTCAATAATACACCAAAATTTGAGATAAGTTTTGTACTAAACTAAAAATCATCTCCAATCCATTATACTAAATGAACAATATTTAATCATTTTCTTCATATTTTTTTATTCTTAACAATTTATTTATTTATTTTACAACTACATAAATTACTAAATAAATAATCACGTTAAATTAGCAAAAATATTAAATTCATTAAAAAATTTAAAAATATAGTACGATCTATAGAAACTCCACAGTAAGAAAATATTAAATCATGTCATTAAATAATCGTGTTCGTTACTCTCCCAAAAAAATTTTAGTATTCTTATTTTAATTAATTATGTTAACTATTTTTGATTATATTATTAAATTTATTACAAATGCTCAAAATAATAATAATAATAATAAGAACAACAACAACAACAACAAATTATTGTATTAAAAAATATATAACAAAAACAGACACAAATATCCTTTACCAATTTTTTTTACAAAGTGAAAGAGAAGGGCAAAATTGCACCATTTTGAAAAATGGTGCAAAAATTTGGTGCACATTGAACTGACTTTGCACCAAAATTTGGTGCAAATTGGTATTTTGGTGCTCACATTGAAGTTGCTCTAAAGTACTTTTATTTTCCAAATGAAACATACTACAAATGTAAATCAAAAGCTTACCAAACACTTGCCTCAAGAGTGTAGTGAATCAATATGTCAACAGGAAACTTTGTAGAATAGGGTTTCAACCGAGCTAGACTAAGACTTCTCCACATCATCTTCCTAAATACAGTCATAGTAATAGGTGGCTACGTTAAAAAAGGGGGCCTCATGTCCGCAGTCTCACTTGACCAATTCCTCGTTTGTTTCCTATTTATGTAAAAATGAAAATGAAAATGAAAATGAAAAATATAGTCATAACGGGTCCCAAATATGGTGGTTTGATGTGATGGATAATAGTCATATTTTTCATTTTAATGGAAAAATAATGGGAAAAAAGGGTCTAAATTTTCATTGTAAAAATCCAACGCTGAAACTTTTCTCCACAGAAAGTGTTTCAACTTGTGCAAAAACATTGACGTACGAGTGAGAGATGGTCTCATAATTCGAAAGGAGAAGAAACACATGTGAAAGGGCTTTTACTTGACTTGTAAAACTTTGGTTTAATCAAAAGTAACACATTTTTGCCGCCATTTACTCAACTGCTCTAATTTTTGCACTTTCATACCTGTGCCCACGAACGCCTTTTCACTTTTTAATTCGAACTAAAGATTGCTTTCAATGTTTAGTGTAAAAGAAACCAAATCAAAATATTGTCTATCGTACTATTCAGTCTAGTGACTTTATTGTACTAGACTAGTAACTTCGATAAGTTGTGCTAGATGTATAGTGATGACAAGGGGGCCACGTATGAATAGAATTATTCAACTTCGATTTTTGTTCGTTCACCGTACAAAAAATTGTACCAACTTCAAGATATTATTCCATTTCAAGAACTGGGCTCAACAAAGAGTTCATAAATACCGCAATTGACTGTTTGTGACAGCAGATAACGATACTTGCAGTTGACATTTTCTATTAAGAAGACTCATAACCATAGCACAAGATCAAAACATCTTAAATTTTTTTGACTAGCTTGAGTTTAAAATTTAATCTGTCAGGATATTACTGCAGCTAAGCTGTTCGAATCTCTCTGTTTATGTTCAGAAAGAAAGATACATTCAGTAAACAAAACTAGGAAGAGACAGAATGGTATAATAAATTATAACAATTGATCATAAGACATGACAGCATGGAAGATGCCATAAAACATTGTCTCACTCAAGATTCATGCCAGAGAGGATGAGCAGATAAATATTTAGTTAGTTAAGTTTACTTCTAAAGGGAATCTCAGTTCATTAGAGTCGTTGATTAAGAAAACATTAGATGGTGAATCTTAGATTTCATACGACACTAAGGATATGTTGGGTAGGTTGAAAAGCAAAAGATAGTATTACAAAGGGAACTATCAAACATATCTATTATGCATATTTGATACAAAATTTTAATTTGTGACACTCACAATACCAAACATTTTAAAAACTCGCACCTGAAGTCCAAATGGATGATTTCTATTAGTTTGATAATTAGTTGTCCGTAAAAAAAAAAAAAAAAAAAGGTTTGACCCCTTTTGATCAATTTCAAAAGGGTAAAAAGATACTTATTATTCTACATAAAAAATCATATTAGTTGAATAAATTATTAAAAAAAATAATTCCAGTGAGGGAATTGTCGAATCCCTTGTACCTTCATCTGATTCGTTCTTTATTGATGGAGGATAGAGCGGTTGCTCATGAACGATTCAGGTTCATTCTTTGAGTCATTTGTCTTTGGAAGAGGATAAGGATAAGGAGGCCCATGATAGGCAGGCAGTGGAAGGTGGCAGTGGGATGTGAATTTGATTTAGGACTCCAGATACAAGTTTTTGAAAGGTTTGGTATCGTGGATGCCATAAATTAAAGGTTTGGAACAAGTTTACATAAAAGTAAAAGGTTTGGTACCGTAACTGCAATTTTCTCTTTTTTAAATGAATCCGAGACAACTCTTTTGTCAAGCACGAGTTACAACTTACAAGCCATGCTAATTCTCAAACGGGCATTTTCTCAAACTATGAACATATTCGTCTACGAAGATTTTCTTTGCTCAAAAATTAGAGCTGCATTTTCAGTCATTCATCAGCTCTTAAAGAAAACACGAAACTATCGAGAATGCACCAGTGGTGCATTTTTGACTTAACAGATGACAAATGACACAGGCTATTCAATTGAATGCCAAAGATAATCTACAACAATGTTGAATAACAGAACGAGAAGCTCAGAGTAGTGAACTTTGCTTGGACATCAAATCAGCAAGAATTCCAAAGAACTATTCAACACAACATTAGCTTGGATCAGCAACCATAGAAACAGTACTCGATCCAGAAATCTTGAAATCTTTTCTATACAATGAATTAGAATTCTCTCCAACAGAGTCGTTTCTCTTTATGCAAGACACACTCCCTTTACTGTACCCAAGAACCTTAGACCTATTACTTCGCCCATTGAAACTCCTACTTTGAAATCCAGAACTGTATGCCAGTTTAGGTTCTATCCAATCATTCTCACCACGAAACTCGGACTCCTCATCAGGGCCAACCATTAAGTCCAACAAATTGCTCCTAAACCCCAAGTGAGAGTACACTCTCCGCGAATTCCTCAATGGTAGTCCTAGTTTGGCATCCCCAACATCCAAATTCCGGTCATCAGACCCCTTTCCCTTCGAATTCACCTGGACCCTTCTCGAATCTACTGGTCTCCCCATGGTATCAACCATCAAACAAGGATTAGCAAGTCCATTCCATGGACGGATTGGAACCAGCCTACTTAATCCGCTCAAACACACTACTACTTCCTTCATTGTCGGCCTCCTCTCCTTACAAGACCTCACACATTTCGCAGCTACCACCGCCAACTGCTTCCTCACAGAAGGGTACTTGGGTGGTTCAATCCTGGGATCATAAATGGCCAAAAATTTCCCTCTCCTAATCAATGGAATAGCCCAATCAACAACAGAAGGCGGCGAATGCCCCATATCAATAGCTTTCCTCCCACTAATTATCTCCAAAAGAAGTATTCCAAAACTAAACACATCAGTTTTAGTACTCAGATTGCCCGGGGTTACATAACTGGGATCTAAATACCCCATTGTCCCTGCCGGGGGAGTTGATCTTAACCTATAATCATCCACACACCTCAATGCCAGACCAAAATCCCCCAACCTTGCATTGAAATTCCGGTCTATCAACACGTTGGCCGACTTGATATCGCGATGAATTACCGGAGGACTTGAAGAATGAAGGGTATCAATGGCTTTCGCAGTTTGTAAAGCTAATTTTATCCTTCTTCCCCAAGTGGGAGGCCGGGAACTCGAATGCAGAACATCATAAAGCGTCCCATTTCTCATGAACTCGACCACTAAAAGGCGATCTAGAGAATCATTCTTACTGAATCCAACAAGATTAACTAGTCTTGGACCCTGCAGCTTTGACAATATATCAATTTCATTCTCGACTTCATTTGGGCTATCCGTCACCGACATTTGTGCAGTTCTTGAGGATTTCTTTATGGCCACAAGGCGACCTTGGAGAACCCCTTTGTAAACAAGGCCATGGCTGCCCCTGCCCAATAGCTTTTGATCGGAAAAATTGTTAGTGGCTGCTTGAAGATCTTTATAGTTGAATTCCTGAATTTTGTTGGGCTTTTCCTTTTCTTTTTCAGAATGATGATGGGATTTCTTTGAGAAGGTTGAAGGTGAAGTCTTGGAATTGGCTGCTGAGATAGCCGATTCTGCGTTACAAGAAAGATAACCCATCAAGATTATTGTGAATCCTATGCATGTATCTATACAATAAATTTATATTCGTGTCTGTGTGTGTACTACATTTGGATCATGAATTTACACGAGATGGGGGTTTTAATAGGTTCAAGAATAGGAGTTTGGCGATTGTGGTGGATGTTGCGGAAATGGAATCCGAAGATTTTTGGTTTTGCCACCATTTGACGCAAGCAGTTACAGGTCAATACATAAGACAATTGACATGAGTGCGTGGGGGCAGAAGTCCATTATCCTTTATCGATTATTTATCCATCGATTTAAAACTCCAATAATGTCTAAAAATCAACTTTCATGTTTTCAAAAGTAAAAAAATATTTTTTTTTAAAAAAAAATATCAATTAAATAACACAAAAATACAAATTTGAGCGAAAAATAACATTTTTCATGAAAACTATTGGCAATCAAAAGCACTCTTAAATTTTTTGGTTTAAATTTATTTTTCATGAAATTGTCATTTTTTATCCAATTTCTTACTTCCGATTGATTGACAAGTTTTTCCCTGAGAAAATTCAAATTTTTGGTCATTTGTCAGTATTTTATTCAAAAACAAGAAATATATATATATATATATTTTTTTTTTTTTTTATTTTTTTTTTTGGTGGGTTGATTTTTATTTTCAAGACAAATCATTCTCTCTTTCTCTATCTCATCCCTTTCGTCTATCCACCAATAAAAATGGACAAATGTAACATTTCTAAAGTTAAATATTATATCAATCGAACAAATTTAATTAATAACTCCATACAAATAAGTTTTAGACAATTAAATTACTTATAATTTATTTTCTTTTACATTTTAAATGCACATATTGAAAATTAAAATATGAATTAATGAAATAAATAATATAAATATTTAGTCTCCGTTCGATTAAGATTTTTTTGTGAATAATCTGTCAAAAGTAATTATTTAACAAATGTATGATTAAAAACGTAGAAAAAAGTTATAAATTTACATGTAATGAAAGACATTTTTTCAAAGAAAAATAAATTTTTAAAAAATGAGAGCATAATTTTAAATGTGAACGATCACTTCACTAGAAAAATCAATTCCTCTTTCCTCAAGTAGTATGTGATTATTTATGCATTGATAAAGTTGACCAATTTCGAAATTCGATGCCTATTCTGCAATCAACGCAACCTTTTGAGCCATGATTTGGCAAAAGTTGACACAATTTGCCAATAAAAAGCCATGCATTAGGGAAGCCTTTGTTTAATGATATTTTCCGACATTGTTCAGTGTAAAAACAAAAGATTTCACTTGTCATTTTTTTAATTAATAAATTTTTTATTTAAAAAAAATGCCTAGTAGTGTAGAATGTGCTTTTCTTTTCTTTTTCTTTTATTTACGACAAGTTTTCGATTTTAATGCAAGGCAAAGAAATATCGTTTTTCAATTATTAGGGTTGGTGGACATTTATTTGAATTAAAAAAGGAATTTGACAGCTCAGTGTATAGCCCTCTCACAAGAGAGAGGAGGACCGCGTCCAATAAAAAAATTGTGGGCCCCCCTCTTGTGAGAGAGACTTTACACCGAGTTATCAAGTTCGATGTACGTGTAGCACTTCTCATTAAAAAACATATAGTTTTGTAAATGAAATCAACAAAATTACTCTAAGTAAAAACTAACTCATACATCATTGAAAAGAATTTTTCTTACCTGTATTAAGTGGTGAATTCTAACTTTTTGACTAAGCCAATTCATAATGAAAATCATGAATTCCTGTAACAATTGATTGGCAGATAGGAATAATATGTTAGAATTGTCCTCGATCTCTTAGATCTTAAGCATCAAATGCAGTTCAAAGAACAATTGATTGGTAGGGTAGGACATTTAATCCATGGAATCTATCCATCCAAATTAATTTGAGTCGAGCTGGATCGATTTTTGATATATTTTTTATTTGATTAGAGAAACCCAGTCGATTTGCAATTTTATTGAAGAAACTCAATAGAAACAAATCCAAAAATCAAGGATTGTTCTAACTTAAGCACAATTTTGGATTAGTTTAGGTTAAAAATTATTCAAATGGATTGTTCGATTTAATTTTGGGTAGGTTCAAGGTTCAAAAACCGAACCATCCTGATCGATACTCACCCCTATCGAGAAGTGTCCAATTCAAAGTGTTTGGAAGTTGAGATGTGCTTTCTGGAGACGAAAGCCCTTTTTTATTAAAAATATAGGCGGAAGTGTTTTTTCAACTGTTTTAGAAAAATTTATATTTGAAGCTAATCTAGAAAAGCACTTCTGCTAAAAACTTTTGTTGTTTTAACACCAAAAAGTTGAAATATTATCAATATTAATTAATAAAATATCAAATGTATTCAAATTATTTCAACGTGAACAACCTCTCCCGATCAAACCTAAATTGAACTGGGTTGGGTTGGGTTGAGTTGCGATTTATTTTTATTTTTTTTAATGATGAAATCCGACCCAAATCGAATAAAACCGCACAAAATAAATTTAATTATAATTAAAAATCATATAATTTTGCATATTGACCATTCCTGTCTCTCTCTCATTACTGTGTTATATATGTTATTATTTTTGTAAAACTGAAAGGAATAGAGAACAACATAAGAAAATAAATAGAGTCGAAACTTAAGTCTATATTTATTATGATGATGGACCCCTATATATTGGATTTCAACAAGAGTTAATATGATTAATACAAACTTTTAAATTAAGTAAAACTTTATCTAAGTATCATGAGAAGACTAAACCGTCGTCAATAATTATATCATAATTTTTACAACACTCATTTATGACTATTTGCACAATAACCGCCTTATTAAAATCTTGTTTGCCAAAACCTAGTGCAACGAAAAAAGTCGAACAAAAGAAGAGTACAATTAATTGTTAAACGTTTGAATTATTATGAAAATATTTTCTTGTTAAAATCTTGCTCAAAAAATTTGATGGGACAAAACTTGAAAGAAGGAAAAAGAGTACAATTATTCCTTCCCGGTTTCAATTAATGAAAGTCAATTTATACCTTTCATATTTTGTGTACCAATGTCTTCAATACATCATCTTCAAAAAAAACTTGTATAAAATAATTCTTGTGAATTAGGTTTCATGTCATCTTGTTATAGTTCCTCAACTATACATCTTCATACAATCTATTCATCTACCCTTAGATGATGATAAAATGAAAACATATCTTGTTTTTGCTCTTTTAAGGGTCTCTATGCAATATGTAATTTACAATAGTAAAATTATAAAGTGAGGTGAGGATAAATATCTTATAGGTTATGCATATTCATCATAGTAAAGAATATACCTCGATAAAATTTTACTAGGAAACACCATGTGTGAAAATTCATTGTGAAGGAAAAATACATTATTATTTTGAATACATTATGAAAGTTGTCTATTAAAACCTTGTAAGAAAAATTCAATGGAACAAAATATTGATCAAAGAAAAATAGTACAATTCATATTTCTCATGCTCATGATAATATCACTTGAGTTATGTACTTCAAGCATATTAATATTATCTAATACTTTTATTAATAGTGTTAATAGGCATGCCATATGAGTTGATTATATCCATATATATATTAGACGCACATTGAATTTTATGTATCGTTTGGCTAACAAAATATAGACTTGTGAAATTCTTTATGTAAAGAGTCGTGCATTTCATGTTATGCCTTCATTTTTCTCTTTTACTTTTTGCATAAGTATACACTCTTGGGTGTTTGAAATGTATGTCCAAGAACTTCACACTTTTGCATAATGACATAGTTTATTAAGATATCTCTTTTAAATATTTCAGGCACCAAAATCTCTCTAGGCATTTCACAACTAGTAACGCCACATATTCACCAAGAGTACAGGCCTCCTAATGGGACCATATTTATTAGGGTAATTAGCACAAAACGTCCCTACCTTTCGATGTTTTTGTGGAAAAGGTCCCTAACTTTCGTTTTTTGGTGGATTACACCCTCACCTTTTCCTTTTTTTTTTGCGCAAAGCATCATTTTGTCAACTTCCTGTTAAAATCCTCTGTTAAATCAAAGGGTAATTAGCACAAAATGTTCATACCTTCCAATATTATTGTGTAAAACATCACTATCTTTCATTTTTTGGCATAATTAAGACAAAAGGTCCCTACAATTTCAATGTTATGTGTAAAATGTTCATACCTTTCATTTTTTAGTATTTTCACCCATACCTTTCACTTTTCATTGCCCAAAAGGTCATTTTCATCCATTTTTTTCAATAAAATGATGATTGTACCCTCATATTCAAATAAAACAAAGAGAAAAAATGAATTACCAACTGCAATCATAGTCCTTAAATTTTTAAAAAATTACAAAGAAATAATAAATTCTCAATCACCACCACTTTCACAACCTATCAAGCTGTCAACCATAAATCCACATAACACCACCTTCGGCCACCATGCCCACCGAACTCCACCACTGTAAATGTGGTTGTTTCGGACAGATTGGTGACCAATACTATAGAGGAGGATATTGGGGAGAGTGAGGCGAGGCTGGTGGTGGTGGAGTCCAGTAAGCATTGTGATTGAAAGGTGGTGCTATATGGATTATAGGTGGTGGCTTGGTGGGGTTGTGAAAGTGGCAGTAGTGGAGAATTTAGGACTTTTTATAATGTTTTGAATGATTTAAAACTACGATTGTAATTAATTATTTATTTATTTTTCTTTTTTTTATTTGAATAGGACGGTAAAATCGACATTTTATTGAAAAATGTATAAAAAGGACCTTTTGCGCAATAAAAGGTGAAAAGTAGGGTGAAAATGCTAAAAATGAAAGGTATTGATGTTTTGCACAATAACATTAAAAGGTTGGGACCTTTTGTGTTAATTATGCTAAAAAATAAAAGGTATGGATGTTTTGCACAATAATATTGAAAGGTAGGGACCTTTTGTGCTAATTACCCTTTTTATTTAACAGATCATTTTAATAGGGAGTTGACAGAATGACGTTATGCGCAAAAAAATGTAAAGGTGAAGATGTAATCCGTCAAAAAATGAAAGGTAGGGATCTTTTCCACAAAAATATTGAAAGGTAGGGACGTTTTGTACTAATTACCCTATTTATTACTTCATTTTTATTTTTGGAGATTTTTGTCTTGAAATTGAATATTATCATGTTTCAAATCTGTAATTATTTTATGAGAGAATGTGTTGAAAATGAGTTTAAAAAAATGGGACTCAAATAAAGACATAATATTAATATATTGTTTTTCCAATACATCAATTTGACTTGGAGCATTTACAATAGTGTGTGAGATATTGTCAATCTTTTTTATTGTAATATGTATTTAATTGAATTATATTTTCAAACTTCCGATTCAAATTAGCTTCTATGAAGTTCTAAATAATACAATGATGGATTATAATTATTTCCAAGTTTTCTAATTCCTTTCCCCAAATGTTGAGAAAAATGTCCAATTTAAATGTGAGTTGACATATCGCGTTATAAAATATCATCCCGATTGGATTCAAGATTTTTCATAAAGGCTCAAACTAGACATGTAATCTTAGCATTCTCTAATGTCAATCTCAATGTGATGTGATGAAGCTATTATACATTTATTACACTGTCAAAAACATAATATTGAAAATATTATTGGGTTTTTTTTTTTTCCCAAACTTTTTTTAGTTCAATCGCTATTTGACCAGAGCCACATGGGCTCTGGTCATCTGGGGGGCAATGTGGTGCCCCCATTGGTTGAGGGTCTCTTTATCCTTATTAGTTTTGAAAAACATCCAAAACTTATTTCTATGGTATTTTCAAAAACAAGATTACACTTATAACATAAAATTCAAAATATTTTTAAATTTTTTAGTGTTTTTAGTGAAAACATTCAAAACACGAGAAAAACGTGTTTAAATAAAAATCTTGAAAAATTAAAAACTCCAAAAACACAAAATAAAAAATTCCATAAAAAAAAACTGTAAATAGTTAAAATTCAGAAAAAATGAAAATAGTTCAAACTCTTATTAATCATTTGAATAAAAATTCTAAAGAAAATGAAAACATATAAAATAAGTATTTGTTATTATCTTATATATATATATATATTGAATAATCTAAGTTAATGAAATAAAATATTATAAAATGAATTTGAAAATGTAAGTGTACATTATTACTTGATAAAATAATGAAACAAAATATCTCAAAATTTCAAATCAAACGTGTTTTTAGTTTTCAATTTTGAGAAACAATTTCTAAAAATGATAAAATATAATTCTTTTTTATTTTCAGTAATCTTAAAACAAACCATCAAAATAGAAAACTGAAAATGAGTTCAAGACTCAAACAAAAAATTGAAACGCAAATCAAACAAGCCCCGTTTTAATTGAAACAAATATACCTATTCAACAAAAAAATTGACAAAAATAAGTTAGTTTTTAGATTAATTAGTATATAGACAAAAACATTCATTAAAAGTTGGGTGCATTTATCATATCCAACTTTAACATCGATAGGAAATGAAGCAAAAGATATAATAAAAGCTCCAAAAGATGATTAATTGCTTACATATGTTTGTAGTATTTTAGTGCATTCTTAAAATAAAACTAATGAAAAAGATAGATTGACTTAGAATGAAAATAAATAAATAAATTCAACAAATTAATAGTTTATATTGCTATATTTATATTTATAACAGCACATTATTTTTTAGTATTTTTTCAGTAACTAGTATCAAACATGATATTTTACTTTTCTCATAAAACTTCACTTTTCTGAACAACACTATCTACATATCTCAAGATACTCAAGAACATAAATATAAGATGTATTTTGCTATCTCACATCGGTCGTAATAGCAAAAAGGCACTACAGTTGTTTGAGTATAAATAGGTGGGCCAACAAGTGGACTAAAGCCCGAAGTCCAGCGATATTTTGGAATTTTAAAAAAGGCTAATTAGCACAAAACGACCCCGTCTTTCAATGTTTTTGTGCAAATCGTTTATACGTTTCATTTGTTTTTTTACTAAGTCACCATCACTTTCACGTTTCATTGCGGAAAGGGTCCTTCCATCCACTCACCATCAAATCCTATGTTAACTCAACAAAATGCTACTTAGTACAAAACGTTCATACCTTTCAATATTTTTATGCGAAACGTTGCCACCTTCCGTTTTTATAAAGGTATGGATATTTTACACATTTTAATATTAAAATGAGATTGTATTTCATTAAGTATATATTAAAAGAAAGGGTTGTTACACGTAGAACGCATTATTATGGAGGGATGGTTATCACAAGTTCAATTTCATGCTAAAAATAAAAATTATTCCCAATTCATCTTCTCCATTCATAAGTGTTGGGTCATTCACAATTGAAATTTGATATGCTATTTACAGTATCACATTTGCCATTGTTCTTCATATTTTACCCTTACTTACACCACTAATAAGCACAAAATGGGAAGAACATCTCCAATTTATCGACCACATATTTAATCTCTTCATCTACCGTTCCAAATTTTATGAGCAATCCAGTAATAGTAGCTATTGTTTTTCTCAAGGTGAAATACAGTGTTCTTTACATCATTCCTTATTTATTTAATGGAATAATTGTATAAATTATTTTCATATTACTTTTAATTTTGAATAGTTAACTTTGAAGGAGGGAAGAAGGTCAGTAAAAAAAAAGAAAAAGGGTAAGACTATATTATCGTTGATTTTATAAAAGAAAATTTCCATTTTCTTTTAAGTTAACGGAGCATTTGACGGTAGGTGGATGGAATGACTTTTCCCGCAATGAGAGGTGAAATTGTCAAAAATGAAAGGTATGTACCTTTTGCATAAAAATATTGAAAGGTGAGTATGCTTTGTGTTAATTAGACTTTGTTGAGTTAACGGAGCATTTAATGGTAGGTGGATGGAAGACATTTTCCGCTTTGAATGGTGAAAGTGAGGGTGAAATTGTTAAAAAACGAAAGATAAGAATTGAAAAGTGAAGACGTTTTGTGCTAATTAACCTTTCAAAAATAACGATTAATTCACCTATTGAATAGTTCGAGTTGCTGGGTTTTGCTGGTTTCTAATAAAGTGGGTTTTAAAGCCTTAAATTGATTTGATAGTTTTTAATTTTTTCGATTGAGTTTATCAATTCGGCTCTAACTTCATAACACTGTTGATAGGTTGCAATGGATTTCTTTTTCTTTATTGAGTTGATCGGTTTGGTTTGATTTTCAGATGAAGAGAAAATATTTTAAATTGTTGTGGCAAAATTAAATAAATAAATAAATTATGCTACCCATGGTTACATTGGAGATGCACTCCTGGTTAAATTTATTTTTATCCACAAAATTTATAATTTTTATCTACTTTATAATCACATATTTATTGGGGGCTCATGGTTAATAGGCACTCATAAATTTAGACAAGCATACACTTTTAAATAAATAAAAATTTATATTCTCAACACAACTTGTAAGATTTGGTTGAAGCATGTTTAGAGCTAAGTTTAAATGAATTTTTTTTTAACAAACAAATTTTAAAAAAAGTAATGTTGCTCGTTGTAAAGATTAGCTGTAATCATTCTACATGATATAAATGTGGTAAATTGTTAATTGATGCATTAATACGATAGTTTTTTATTGTTTAAGTAAAAATAATTTATTAATTTAATTCTGACATTGATCAATAAAACAAATTTTATATATTAGAAAACATAGTTATTTACTTATACGAATATATCTTTAATCGTAATGCACGTTATACACTATTAGGGAATTTTGATATTTAGCGTGGTTTACCTTTTTTCGTGATCTAATATTTTGATGAATAACCTAATCTCTTAACTAGCGTATTATTTTTTTGAATGTCCTATCTTTTATTTACTTGTGTTTTCGAGGGGATCACATTTTCGTATTTGTTAAAATTAGTCATTTAACACGGCAAAATTATTCTCCTCCATTCCTCCTTTTATTAGATATAATAATAAGATAGAGATATTAGAGTAGATGGACTTAATTTGTTTAAACTTGTATAGTCAATGTTTTCCTCACACATAGTTCAAATCTATTTCTCAAAACACTTAAACACGTTGACTCATCATAAATAGTGAGAACAAAACGTACCGAAAAAAACATTTGTCTAATTTAGCCCCCGTTTGGGATTGACTTTTCACAATAAAAATTTGATTTTTTCATCGTTATTTCACTATTTCAGCCATAATTTTTTTACCTTTTCTCTTACAGGTAGTCCCCACTTTTTTCTTAACGGTCAAAACATCAATTTTTAAAATCACTATTGAATAGGCCTTTAAATACTATCGAGGATGTTTGGAGGATTTGTCCCATCCATTAGCCCTAAAGAGGATGCACCAAAAAGAAAGAGACAATTTAATGAGTGAACAATGACAACTTTATGATTTTAACGTATATAATGTTTTCTTAGCCACTGTTTGATAAAATTAAAATTAAAATTAAAATTTTTATAAAAGTCAAAGTTAAAAATTAATTTTAACCACATATTTTATGAAATCTAAAACACTAAAAATTCGATTTTAATCTCTACCAAGCAGGGGATAACTACACAGATGCTACATACAATCGCCACGTTAATTCTTGTTATGCAATCAATCACATTCATTTGTATTGGTAAGCATTTTACCTTCTCTCTTAAAAAATGTTACTTCTTAATGATAGAAGTCACAATGGGAATACCTCTTCCTTTAAGCACAATTTTCTTTTGCTTGTACAATTGCCGCATTGTATAGTACACGGCAAGATGATGCACTGCAAATGTAAAATCCTCATTGGTTAGATCCCAAAACCATTTGTTCTCCCTTCAGCTATATGATCCCACGGCCCTCTATTTCTCGAACGTTGTAATTACATAATCTCAAAATAACATGGGGGGCACACAAGGGCATGTATCAGTTGGATTTGCTTTCTTTGTCATTGGACTATGGCACCTTTTCAACTGTATCAAACTCCATGCTCAACATCCTAAATCTTACATAACTATGCCATGGTTCCCATTGTCGAAAAGAATAAGGTACTTGGAGCTTATTTTGATAATGGCATTTTCTGCAGGCTTCGTCTCAATGGAGATACTTATTGGTCAACAACCATTGGATCCCGATGGAACCATTCGTGCCAAGTATCTTCGCCACTTTGAGCACTCCACCATGTCCATGTCTTTCTTCGTTTATGCGTTGTTTGCCATCCTTTTCGACAAGATCGCGCCCCGGGCTCAATATGGCCTAATGCATTTTCTGCAGGCTATTGCATTTGGCCAACAACTACTCATTCTCCATCTTCACTCCACTGATCATATGGGAATTGAAGGCCAGTACCATTGGTTGCTTCAAATTGTCACATTTGTGTCTCTATTTACCACAATTTTGGCCGTTGGCTACCCCAACAATTTCTTGAATGACTTTGCAAGAGCTTCCAGTATACTTTTCCAGGGTGTTTGGCTAATAGTTACAGGAGTCATGGTTTGGACACCAGATTTGATCCCTAAAGGTTGCTTCCTGAGGTCAGAACCAGGCCGTGTTGTGGTTCTATGCCATGACGATCGCACATTGGAACGTGCTAAAGCATTAGTGAACCTTCAATTCGGCTGGTACGTGATAGGATTAACGATGTTTTCTATGTCATTTTATTTGGTTCTGATCAAACTATATCCTGAAGAAAAGGTGGAATATCAACCATTAACAAAATATGAGAAAGAGGAGGATAGATGCTATGTTGAGGCTCAAAAGAAAAGCAAAATCTGCCAGTCAAGAAATTCTCTTCCATTCTAAAAATTGAAACATCTGTTCCATTAGGCATGGATTATTGTTGGGTTGGTGAATATCTGGGCAAAAGGTGTTATTACATGTATTAATATGAAAGGATAATCATCATTGTTTAAGGTATTGTTTAATTATTTCTTTCATTTATCCAAGAAACTCTCTCTCTCAAGAAAATTATACCATGACAGCAAAAGCTTTCCAACAATAGATGTAGCAAACATGGATGGATTCAATGGACCTCAAATTTATTTATCAAAGTTATGGCTTATTTTATTATTGTGACTTGACAATCAAAAACTCAATGACCCTCAGATTCTTTGAAAATCAGTTTCACTATTTAAACTTCACATAACCACCAAAACATCATCTCTTCTTCTTCTTGCAAACAAAGAAAGGCCCACCTGCCTTGGCTTAAACTCCAAGATTATGAATATTTAAAGGTACAGTCAATTCAAGATAATTACAGCGATCGATAAGCTTTCTGAAAAATTTAAGGAAAAAAAAAATCGATGACAAAATTGGTTAATACAACATTAGGCAAAATTATAACGACTTATAACTACAATCAGCATGCTACATCGAAGACATAAATCATAAAAGCTAATCCTTTACTAACAGAGGTAAGTTTCCTATGCAAAAAAAAGTAACAGTCGAAGTTCGAACTATGGTGTATATCATGGTATGGAAGAGAGTAAGAACAATAATGACTCACTTATTGTATTTGAATTAGCTACATGTTTAATGTCAATTTATGTCTCGTGACTATAACCTTCAAGCACCATAAAGAGCTTGTAAGACAAATAATAATATGCTAATATTGAAGAAAAACAAGAAATTTGAAGGGATGGAATATAAGAGGCTCTTTAATTAAACATAAGATATTCTCTATTTTAAAAAGTCAATCCTTAAAATTATAATATGAGAGATTCTTTAAATTAATAATTTGAAATAGAGAGTGAGTTTGATTCTCAAAATTTAAAGAGTCAAACCGACTTTCAATAATTAAATGCATTCAAATGATTTCAATTTTCAATGTAAGAAAATAATATAATAATTTGAAGGAAAGTTGGTAAAAATAAAAGATAAGGAACAACAACAAATATATTTTGGGAATAGTAAAATTTAGTGTTGACTAGCCTGTTGAAGTACTTTAAAATTTTTATTTTCTAAATTTATAGCTGCTTTTTAAATTATAAAATAAGATCTTTAAAAATAAAAAGTCTCTTAAAAATGCTCTAAGATACTAGCTTGTACTAAAAGAGAAAAAGAAATTTAAGGGACCAAGTGAAAATGGCAAACAATTAATTTAAGAAATACATCCACAAATTAAGTTATCAATTTGTTTTTTAAATTAAGAAAATCATAACAGTGATTACAACTGATTAACGTAATCTCTATAAAATTATTTAAAAACATGTCAAGCAATTATAAAGTTTTGTAATCCCAACTTCTTCTTCTTCTTCACTTCCAACAACTATAAACAGAAATTACGAATTTCACCTAGTTTACTTCTTCTCTGTTTGGTAAAGCTTTTTTAAGATTATAAGATGATGAAGCGTCAACTTTTTTGAAAACTCACATTTGTCATCCACACATTTCGTAGGCTTCAAATCTGATAATCTACAAAAAGCTTTACAAACATACACAACAGTTTAGCGTTGGACTCATAAGCTAGGACGCCATCTTTTTACATGTCGATTATAAAGGTGAATTCTATCAAATGTAACATGACCTTGTTACTGTTTATGTAATCAAAGATAGGTTAGGTTCAGCCTTACTCGAGATGGCAAAATTCATGAAGCTACTTATTTTTCTCAAATATAGATTGTACATGAAAAAATTTATTTCATTATACGAACATTTTGACAAAGTAAAAACTTTTTAAAATAAAAAAAAAGCCATAGTTCTGTTGGAAAAAATAATTAGTTGCAGTAGTGATTAGAACAATATAATGCAGAAATATAAAACTTATCGTCCGATCGAGTCTCGTGACAGCACGATGTCCTAAAGTGAAATTGCCCGTCAATAATTGCTGCGACCTCCGTGAACAATCACTCCCAAGATGCAACGATCATAAACTATTTGTGCAACAATCACGAATGATTTTTCTAGAACTCTCAATTGTACTCCAGAATAGATGTAAAAACCCGAATATAAGAAATTCAGAATATGAAAAGGAGGATTGATGCAAGATGATTTTTCTATTTTCTTTTTGTGCGTGTTTTTCCCAAAACGAGATATGGGTTTATATAGGCAAGATAGAAATTACAGTCTTCACCATGTAATGCAGAATTTTAATAACTGAGTAGTGGATGTTTTAATGGCTGTTAGTGGGTTGTTACAAAAACAAACAGTCAGAAAATACTGGCTAATTTTACCCATTAAATAATAAAGAAAAAAATCATTTATTTTAGTCAAGGAAGCCCAATGCCCCAAGGTCCCAATCAAGACATTTTAATATCTGCGTGGGGAGTGACTCGAACCCCTGACGTCTCACACAAATGTCACATTTCCTACCAATTTGACACTTTATCTAATTTGATTATTTCTTTCACATTTTATATTTATACCATAAATATAAAACAAGTTCTATGGAGCCCGTTTCGGTAAAATAAGCTCTCAAAGCGGTGATGATGTTGATTAATTTTTTGTTGTTGTATGAGAAAATTATACCTGAAATTCTTACCATGTCAAGAAAAGGTAGAAATGAGATACAAGATGATATCAATTCCAAGAAGAAACAAATAATTATTGAATCATATTTTAATAAGGCCTCATAATCGAATTATAAGCACCATGAATCAGAAAATTATTAATTATATTACGTGGGATCTATATAAACTTATTATAATATATTATTTTATAAGTTTAGCTAATTATTATTTTCTTGACAGAAAATGTAAGTTTTCCATTCAATTGTGTGTAACATTTCAAATTAAAAACGTATTGCAGACTAAAAGCTACATAAATGTACTGGATGATATTATTAATACTATTGGTTCTTGAAATAAAGAAAAACTATTTAGGTGAACTCACGGAGTGAAAAAAGAAAAAAGAAAAAGTTGACTAGTGAATTTTAAGGCGTGAAGACTGAATTTGCTCAAAGAATATTTATAAATTTTTAAAAAAGAATGAGTTGTAAGATGTTGGTTTGTAGTAAACAAGAAAAACACATATAATGGTTCTAGTGAAAATGACAAACAATTGATTTAATAAATATACTCACAAATCAAGTTATTTATTTGTCTTTTGAATTAAGAAATTTTAACAATGATTTAAACAGATCAACATAATTATATATGAAGAATTCAATAAAACTAAAAAGAATACAAAGAATTATGTGGTTCGGAGCCCGTGTAGCATCCTATATTCACGGGAGAAGAGAAGAGAAGAGAAGAGCTTGTATATTATTCACTTATGTTTGGAGCTTAAAATGAAACATATATAGACAAATTACATCAAGGTTGTCTTATTGAGGATGAGGCAAGGAAGGAAAGAAAATAATGAATTCTGAAAATCTTCCAAATCGCGGTTATGCCATAATATTCTCCAATATAAGCAAATCCTTCAAATATCATCAATTATTCCTTTTCTTCAACAATGTAATTAATCCAAAACTTACCAATTAATTTTAAAACCCACGTACAAAGTGGAAAATAATTAAAATTACAGCTAAAATAAGAAGAATTTTGCTATTTGTACACTTGGGTTGACACTTGCATTATTGTCAAGTGTCAATTGAATGAAAAAATTGATTGAAATTTAAACTGTCCAATGGAATAATGATACGTGACAAAGTGTAAACTAAAGTGTACACTATAGTGCACATGTAGGAAGGTTCAATTAAGAATTTCATAATCCCAATTCCCAACTCTGGATTATGTCCTATTTTTGTCAAATTTAAAAAATTCTAAATCTGATTACCGGAATTCCAATTAAAGATTGTGTCCGTTAAAGATTTTTCATATTCATGCACTACAAATAACGGAACTTACTATCTACTCTATTCACGAATTCTCAAGCAATGGATAAGTTTTTCGTCAGTGCTATCTTGTGCATGATTTTACTCAATGCTTCGATGAATTTTACTACTGCTGTTGATTATGGTAATTATTTACATATCTCAATTTTTCATGTGTGCTTGTTTACTTCAAAACAATTAAGACAAATGGATTATTTCATGTAGAGAAACTATAACAATCTTAATTTCAAGCTGCTAATATAACATCGGATTTAACTTTTATATAATTGTTTGTACAGATGGAGAGGACACAGAGGATCCTGGGAGAAGCCCAGTTGGTACATGTGTTGAAACTATATTTCAACCTGAATGTCAGCCGTCGTACTGCTCGCAATATTGCCACACAGCTCAACCTACAGCAATGAAGTCGATGTGTGACTCAAAAAAGGGGATATGTTATTGTTATTTTTCATGTTTAGTTAATCCGCCAAATTGAAGGCGTGAAACTTTTCACTTATAAGCAAAAAATAATTGATTTTTCTGAAGATCACTTTTGGTCCTTTTCTTTTTCTCTATATTTTTTCTAATATTTGTTGCTTTGCCTTTTCCATTTTAAAGGAATTTATTGCATCAATCTCTAAAAGAAAAATATGGCTATATATGAGAGCCCAAAAAGAGATGCATTGTATAAAAATGGACAATTCTTTAAAAAAAAGAAAAAGAAAAAAGAAATCAACAACAACAAAAACGTTTTTTCATTGCAATGTCAAATTGATTTCAAAATTATTTATAAATAGGAATTTGAATACAAGTACGATGACTATCCAATCACTTTAAGAAATATTTTTGATGAGTTATATCATTATATAAAGGAAATCCATTTTATTCCCAATTTGAAATATATAACATATAAATTAAATTGTTCCCACTTTTGACGAATTTCCATAAATTTTGAACCTAAAAAACTTTTATAGTCATGATTTATATATGTCATTGTTACTCAAGCAAGATCTCAATATGTATGTTTTGGAATCTCAAAGGACACAGA